GAGAAGAAGGGAGTTGATGCCGAGGTTAAGGGAGGCCAGGGCGAGGGCAGACATTGCATTCCTACGGTATGACCGACTACTGACCCGACCTCGGAACCAGAATCCAGGACCCATGGCGAGCACGCCGAGGACCAGTATGCCGAGACAAGGAGAGTATGAAGGGTTCGCTGGACCCTCAGCTGTATGAAGAAACACGCAGGTATATTGATATCTGCGAGGGCAGATGAGCGTTGGAATTAACAATTAGCAGGAACCAACAACAAGTATGACCCACGTACGGAATGAGGCAAGTGATTTGCTACAGAGGTTGATAGTTTTTGAGGGATTGGATCAGGAACTGAACACAATTGAAGACACTGAACAACATTATCATGAATCGGACGATGACTTTGACCCTGAAAAAAACTTTTTTAAGAACTCTGAAATGAATTGATTGATGAATTTGCAGTTTATCCTTTAATATTTCCTTCACCTTACATTCCGCTTCCGTCCAGCTTTCTCCAGCTGACTCCTTGATTCCCTCGAAGATCTAGTTTTTTCGCTTGGACTGTACTTCCAAATGCTCCATTTTATCCGTTATGGCTATTAGACTCTCACAAGTTTTGTAGACATCATCCCTTGTTTCCTTGGTTTGTATTTTCTGTTCACCCATGGCTGCTTTAATCACATCCACATCTCGCTGGGTAAACTGCAAACTCGTTTTTATCTCCTGTATTTCTCTGGTCATGTCATCGAGTCTCTTGTTATTTGTCTCCATAAGTAGTTGCACAAAACCTTTGAAGTTGTCTTGTTGTTGGCTCAACAGTGCGGTGTACATCTGCTTTTGCTGACTCAACATCTCTGTTACTTGCGCCGCTGAAATATAATCCTCTTCTGCTTCAACATCCTCGTTTGCTTCTGATTTATTAGCTCTTTTCCCTCTTGGAGGCATTTTAATAGTTGTAGAATTTGTTCAAAGACTTGAAAATGTAGAAGATGTGAAAAATTGTAGAACAGACAAGAGGAGCAGTAAAGACGTCTGCTGCTGATTAACCAGATGGAACATTGTGGGTGTGGTGTATGAATGTTAACACTTTGTAAAATTTTTTTAGTATATTACTTGTGTGGTGTAGAGGATAATTATTTATGTAGAAATATTGCTTAGGACTTAAAAGTTGTAAGATGATGTCATGGGGTAGGACTGGATAAGTCTGACTTCTTCCTACTCCATTCAAGCATGTACTAGGTATAAGCAAATTGATATTGGATTAGCATTTGTTGGATATGTGTAAAATTATGTGTGTTGACATATCAACTGTCTTTACATGCTTGAAAGAATCAATCAAATCAAAAATCAAATCAATGACTGATGAAACTTCTGAATCTCAAGAAATGTCACTCTATGGGTTATTTTACAGATATAGCAATCTTGAACATGGCCATTATGGTTGAAACGAAATAGCTTTGCTGTGTAACACATCAGTATATTGATTTGATCTTGAGCTTCAGAAGGATTGTCCCACATCACAATGATGCTTAACTGACAGTATAAACCTCTCCTCTGTTTTCATGACTTTAGATTTTTGGTCTATTCCAGTGTCCTACTGGAAAACATAATGGTGACACACTGCCTCTAAAGCAGTCATTTTAAAGGGTCGAAGGGAAATTGTCCAATTTTCTTTTCACAGAATGACTGTATTTGACTTTTCTCCCTCCTGTGACTCTTTCTGCAGGTGAGCCATGCTGTAAAGCCCTGTATGACTTTGAGCCAGAAAACGACGGCGAGCTGGGCTTCCACGAGGGTGACATCATCACCTTGGACAGTCAAATCGATGAGAACTGGTTCCAGGGAACACTTCGTGGAAAGTCCGGATACTTTCCCAACAACTATGTTGAGGTGATGGTGCCTCTGCCGCACTGAAAACTGCAAGGCCAGAGGGCGGATAGTTCAGGATTATCAACTCTCAGTAACCAAAACAGCTTTTCTTGTAATTAAAAGGTAAACGTCTCAGGACATGGGCCTACATTTTTGTATCTAAGAGCTTTTTAAACCTAAATTTAATGGAGTTTTACAAGCAACGAGGACAGAGGATGATCAATCAGAAAAATTATGGCACAATGTTTGGGTGCATTTACCATATCCTGAATTTTTATGTTAGGTCTTTGTGCACCTGTGCACTTTGTACACTAGATCATCATCACCTGGACTGATGAAGAATCATCTGTAATAAGATCCAACAGTATGCACAGACATAATGAAGTGAAACTGTTCTCATATTCTGTGATATTCACAATGTAACATTTCTTGTTCTTTGTGTTGTTCACATCGGTACAACGCAGGCATGCGTACATGTATTCTTTTTAGCAGTTTAATACACTCCCAGTTTTCAGCTCTGTGCCTTCAGGCTTTAGTATTGTGTCATCATGGACACGTTGGAGTCAACATGGAGGACTGGCTATGTAGGTACTGTTGTCTAACACCATCCTCCGCTGCCATCTGGTGGTGCTACAGATTTGGAATTGGTTTGAATCTCTCACCAAACACTTGGAGCCAGTCAAAAGATAATAATGACTGACTGTTGTTGTTGTTGTTGTTGTTGTTAACTGCGCTTTAATTGCAGTTTGTCAAGCATTAACTAAGCTGATTCGTGACCAAAAAGTTGTTTTAGAGTACATTTCTAAAGGGCCTTAAGGCTCCATAAATGCACTTCCTTTTATTACATTTATTGTAGTTCTCATGGTGTTAGTTTACCTACAGCTCTTCCATTGTTTTTCAATGGACTGTGCCTTCTTGTCTCTTAGAGCTAACACCAGAGAAAGGTTGAACAAATCCTCAAATTGCATTAGGTTGATATTTGTCATTAAAAAGATGTATTCCATACAGCCTGATGCACACAATGCTGGAGCATTAAGTTCAATATTTGAGATGCAAAAATGTTCTCTTGCCTTTTTGTTTACTTCACAAAAACAGGCTTTTGTTTCCATTAAAGCACAGCTCACAAAAATGCACTACGATATATCCCCGCTCCAAATACAGCAATACACAAAGCCATAAGCTATTTTCTCAGCCTCTATTGATACTGCTGGCAGTGTCACACTGTTTTGTGGGATTTAACCCAATTGTTTGTCAATGAATTCCCAGTCTGATTTGTTTTTCCCCTTCAACACTTGGCTTTAGTGCTTTAACCTTTAATTTGAAGCATGGAAATTAATCTGATCTGTATTGGGTGTTCTGTACCTGTCTCAGTTTCCAAGCTGAAACTGTGTACCAGACGTGAGAGAAAATGCCACAGCCTTAACCAATAATGAGGAAGTTTTGTACACAATGGCTGGTTTCAGTTTCAATTAAGCCTGATACAGGCAGTCTACGAGTTGTGAGGGTTTGTACTGTTCGCTAAAATTTCATCTTTCTTCTTTTGTCGTGATCCCCTTGTTAGACCGCCCTCCGCCCCACTCATCTCTCCCATCTCTATTTAGACTGGGAGTGGAACGGACAGGTCTTTTCAGCAGAGAGGGACACCCAGCAGTGGATTATGCCCTCCCTCCCCCCTCTGGTCTTTAGCTACCACCTGCCCCTGTGTACCCCTACCCCCTTTCTCATTATCTGCCCCATGCCAATCCCATGGTGCCTCTGGAGCTCAGTCTCCTGGTCCACCCCTAAATAGTCTCCTTATTGTTATCATAGTATATGCCTGTTAATGTTATGTTTGCATGTCTCCTATGTTATTCATCTTGTGTATATAAGGCCAGAAGGCTTTGACTGTGCTGAGTAACAAACTGTGTGGTTCAGGTGTGGGTTATATGCCTCATTACACTAAATCAAAAGCCCCGAGTTTCAGGAGGGAAAGGAGGGTCAGGGGATCAGGTTGAGCTGTTATGCAGCTGTATAATGGTGGTGATGAGTAATGTTGTGGAGCAAAAGGCTGAGATCAATTTTTGAAATAGTTGTCTGAATGCTGCTGCTGACATTTATTACAATGCTACATTCTGTGATGGCTTGTATTGTATCCATACCCATAGGTTTCCCAACCTGATAATATTAATAAATTGAATATTATCAGCCTTTAGAGCATTATTTGATTATGCACGTTATCTTAATGACACATTTCGTGTCAAATGTAACTGCTTTGCAAGTGTCTTCATTACAGCTTCTATCTTATGTAGTGCCTTATTTTTGTAACAGCAACACTGGGGACACTAAAAGTGGGATTATCCTGGATTGCCTTTATAATATGTGTATTGTATATTTTTGTTATGTAAAAAGGGAATGGATGCTCTTCATTTGTCTTCAAATAAATGTATAAATGTTAAATAATTTGCTTTCCAGTGTTATTACGGACTGGTGTGGTCCTGCCACTGAATTGGTCTCTTTACATTTAACAGTTTTAATAAGGTTTACTGACGCCTTTTCACATGAAGCCCACCTGAGTCTTATTTAACTCCATCTATTGACAGTTGCGCCTTTTTCCCCTCAATAAACCTCTGTATTTTGGAGATGTATCGCCCAACCATCACGCTTTTAATCGTAACCTCCCGTGTGCATGACCCACCCCCTGACACACCAGGCTACACCAGCCAGCTGTTGGATTATTGCCACGGCACTGTCTCATCGGGGAAGGCGTGTCACTCCCCGAATTACTCAGCGCCCCTTTGTCCTCGGTCGTTGCCCAGCCAGCGACACCCATGGCGGCTGCACCCGTTAGGCAGCGCTCCGGGCCAGGAGGACCCCGGGCACAGCTCCCGCCGTGTTACTACGAAGGATACCTGGAGAAGCGAGGACCGAAAGAAAAGGTATGTTCACCCGCTGCAGATCAAGTGCCATGTTGGCTCAGCGCATGCTGTAGATAGCTGTGGTCAGTGTGTGTATACACCGGCTGATCTGATCCCCCCCTCGATTCCCAGAGAGCTGTCAGCTTCCTTATTGTTGGAATGGGTGAGGCTGTACACTGGTGCTAAATTTCACACAGCGGATCACAGACTGTAGCGCTGTTAAGTCTGGTTTTGCAGAACTGACAGGCATGTTGTGTATCCCAACGAAGGACGAACCCGCTTGGTGTCACAACGCTGCGTGCCGTTTCACTTACATCACGGGCGATTTAGAGCTGGATCCCTCATCTTAATACTGGGCGCCTAAATCATTAATACTATGTCCACCAAGTATTTGCATCTCCCATAATTCAGTGCTGAATGTGAGAAACGCCCTTGTTTTGACAGATGTTCTGGTCTCTCAGGTGCATTTCTAATATCTCAAATACATAGTTACAGTCAAACAATATTCCTCAAGGACTCTTCTGCATGTTGTTTATAAATATATATATATATATATATGGTGATAACTAAAGAATGGGATAGTCTGTTACCCTCCCCACCCCGGCTCCCCTCATCTCATTAGGCTCATTTTAATGCAGTACTTGTAATGTGAGCCTGGCTCAGGTGCAGGTTATTGCAGTGATCCATGGCCACACACTGACCACAGCTGAGGCTCACTCACTATCCATCTCTTGGGACAGGACATGTGAGAGTGATAAAAAGGGACATATCCATTTCACAAATGTGAAAAACAGCACAGCTGTTTCCACAATAGCGTATCCCTTTTTTTTCCCCCATCATATCCTTTTTTAGTCTGTTTATTTCCATGTTTCACAGGCATCGAGGCGACTGTGGACCTGTCTGTGTGGGAATTTTTTGTATTTCTTCAACAATGCCAAGGACACTCATGTAAGTTCTAGACTGTATTCATTTTGTTTGTTTTGCATCATTGTGTGTTGACATCGAAACATATTTGTGTGTGTTCCAGTACGTGGAGAAGCTGGATCTCAGTGGTTTTGTATCCCTGAAAGATGACTGCAGCCGGGACAGAAACCTGGAGGCAGCCAGACTCATCCTGCGCATGAAGGATGGAGAGACCAAACTTACAGTATAGCCACTCAACACACTCGCATACGCATGCATTAAAATGAACATGGTCTGCATGGTGTACAACTGCTCATGTCTTTTCCAGGCACCCAACTTAGAATCAAGGGAGCTGTGGAAAGGTTTCCTCTACTCCGTCACAGATGTAAATATTCATCTTTTGCACACCTGCTACACACGTCCCTGTTCCAGTGTCTCTCTCATGTGCTGTTTAGTAACAAATTCTGTCCAATCACAGCTGAACGTACCGTCCTGTCTCACACTGCTGCCGGGCCAGCTGCAGATGCTGAAAGAGGTGGTCGACAAAGAAAGGTCCAGACGAAGAACTCGCACTCCCACACGTGCTCCTCCTTCACCTCTCTCTGTGCCTTTAGTAGGAGAGATCCCGCCGTGAGTTATCTTCTGTGTTATGTGGACAGGCTGTAGCTGTACAACCACAACGGAGTGCATCACTTTGCTGATACATGTGTGTGTGTGTGTGTGGTGTGCAGCTGTTTTCGACCAGTGTCGCGAACCGAAGCTGAAGTCCTTTTAGAGAGACACCCAGACTGCGGCAACATGTTGCTCCGTCCAGGCAGAGATGGATGCTCACTGGCCGTCACTACTCGACAAGACCTCAATGGGTAAACACCTGCAGAACATCTGGACACCACAGCTGCAAATATCAGTGCAAGCTCTATATATATTGTTTGTCTTTTTCTGCTCTAGGTCAGTGTTCAGACATTACCGTGTGACTCAAAGGGACCAAGGTGGTTATGTCATTGATGTAGAAAATCCTGTAAGTGTATAATAGTCACAGATACATTTCACATGTCATGACATTTTAGAAGCTGATCTATAAAATTGTCTAAGCTCCTATTATAATTCACTTATTAATACATTATATTCAGTTTAAACATTATATACTGATTCTGTTTTTACAGGTAAAACTGTGGGTTAGGGATCTGTTTATCACTTTTTCTCTTGTTAGCAGTATTTTAATTCAGGGTATCTGATCATACTATGTGCCAGTCAGATACCAGTGCCATGTTTTCACAAATTTAGCATTTGTATGCTACACTCGTTAGAATCATTTTAAAGTATTCGTTTCTCTGTCTTCTTTGCTGTCAGATAAGAACACCATTTTAGAAGTGAGTACTTGTCACCAAGCTTTGTGAATTTTCAGGATTTTTAGGGATGTGGCAACAACTCAGCACACACTTGTGAAGACTGAAAAAAAAGAAACTGAAGTCGAGTTACGTTTTGAGATGACAGCAATCCAAAGTGTGTGTACGCAAACACCGTTTGCAAAAAAGCAGCTTTAGGCATATAATCCAACAGGTTTCCTCTTCCAGATTCCCTGTGCAACGCTTCATGAGGTCATTGACGCGCTGGTAGAAAAGACAGCAGGAACTCTTCAACCATTCCTACTGGAGGAGCCGTATGAGGAGAATATCAGTGAGGCAGACTTTTCTTTGTCTACTAATGCCATTTTTGTAAGCCTTACAAGTAATTTATGAGTCCAACCTCATATGTTTTTTTTGGCATCAGCATATGTTTCTGCGAATGATGAAAATGGGGAGAGGATCCTCCACACTGCCCCTTCTAGCCCCCTACCAAAGCCCCCTGCCCTACCTCCTAAACAAGGTTTGCCTCTTTCGCCTCAGTCACATTTACAGTGACAGAGACAGACAGCAGTAATGATCACTGCTTTCATTGTGGTGCAGATCGTTGGTCCAGTAGTCCCCTTTCCAGGTCTCCTGCCCCAGACCGCCGTATCCTAACTTCACCGGTGCCGGCCTCACCCACCAACCCGATGAGACGACTCATTCTCTCTCCTTCACCCCTCACACAGAGTGAGTAGAGCCCACCTGCTGCAGTCGGCCCTGTTAAATTCTGTTTCATCTTAAAGTACATCTTGTGTTTTTCCACAGCGCTCAATGAGGAGCTCAAAATTAAGCTGGAGAAGAGGCGAGCCAGTCAAGAGTGACTTACTCGTAAGGAACAACGTCCTGTCACAGCATACTTGATCTTCAGTGCCAAACCCCTTTCTCACCGCAGCTATCTGCTCATCCTGTGCCTTCTAGGTGGAAGACAAGGGATTACAAATACTGCCACTTTCTTTTAGCAAGCTTCAGTGTGTTCTGGGTTTGGGTTTTGGTCTGTTTATACTTTTTGGATCTGACATGAGTATAAATGGACTCTAATTAGCTTCTAAAGAGCAAGAGCAAGGTTGTGAAACCGTGAAAAAGATTCATATAACCTTACAAAATACTGCCTTCCATGTTTGGGTAATGATCCAGTAGTGCTTTGTCCACATGCATAAAGCTGTTTACAGACTGCGACACAACAAATGATTTTCATTCAGAATACAGTTCACAAGAATCAATGTGACTGGCCTATCTGAGAGGCGCTAACACCAGCAGACCACCAGCTGAGCCTGATGTTTTCCTGTCTGAGCCAATGTCTGTGTGCCAAGCTGCTAATGTTTCTACTGCCAGACTGGAGAACAAACAAATCCCAGGCTACCAAGATCAGCACCAGAATGAAGACCTGAGACACTTCTCTGAAAGTAAAATAAGCCAGACAGGCTCAGGTTTCAGTTCAGTAATTCTCCCTCATCAGCTCATAACATGTAACATAACTTACTCAAGCTGAAACCTGTCTCTGCCTGCTGCTCTGAGTGCTATTTGTGAGCGATAAGCAACCATTAATATACTGTTGATACAATGACACTGCTGTGGCCCGTTTACCACTCAACTTTAACTGTACTGTTGGTGCTTATTTAAAAATGTATCCTTATTCTCTGCTACTGTGTACGTGCTACTGATCTGCCTGGAAATTCCAGGTGTTTCTGTTCCTCTTCAAGGAAATCCATTTGCTGTATTCATGTGTGAAGGTGCCCTCTAGTGGAATGGCTGTTGACTAAGGAGATAGACATGTTGTCAGGACACAGTCTGTGGGTATTAATGCAAGTACCAGGGCAACCCTGTTATGTTGCAGACTGAACCTAGTAAAGACTTTAACTGTTCGCAGGATTACACCACGCCCTACCTCTCTACCTTCAGTTAACAAAATCATATTTTTTATTACAGATCTGGTGTTTAAACAGTTACAACCCGTTCTTCTACATGGGAAACTAATTTTTGCCATTGCTGTCAATTGGCCAATCCTTGCAGATTTGAAGTGTCTGAGTATTAGTAGCAAACTGCGATCGACTGACTCATAAATGTCTTCTTACAATTAACAGTTTCTTGTATGTTTATACATGATGTGTCTACTTAACCACTATTAGAGAAGAGTGTTTGTTAGATATGTGAGGGCATTAAAATTGTTTTGCATGGATCCTAGTTGTTCCTTGCTGTGAAATAATAGGTGTTGCTTTCTCATAAAGACTGTTTCCCTTTTTAAATGCCAGGAAACAGCTTCCTGAGGAAATTGCACAATACTGGGGTGATTAAATATCATGACTGGATTATTAGACATAATACTGAACAATCTGTTTTTGAGGTGATCCATACGTCAAAACATGTTTTTGGAAATGTTTGTCATTTTTTATTTATTTATTACAAGTTAAAAAGGAATGAAAAGTGTCCTCACTATGGGTGAAAAATCACTCTTCTCTTCCTAAGGGTATTTCCTCAATTAACTCGCACCAATATTAGGTTAGTTATACACATGTATTGCATGAACCCACCACATACATAAAGGGATGTAATAGACCGCTAGAGGTAGCTGAAACAAAGGAAGCAGTAAATACTGGTGGTGTATACCAGAAGCACATATTGTTTTATTATATTTTACTGTTCAGCATGTAGGGGGTTGTATTGCTAGTTTTTATATTACATCAGTTTAGATAATCATCTGTAATATCACAAACAAATCCTCAGCTCTCCTCATGGTATTAGTGATGTGTTTTTCTGTGTCAAAACATACAAATGCTTAAATTCTAACAAGAAAAACTTGGATTATGTTACCACAAAATGTTATGCAGAACAGAAAGCAGTAAAATGAACCTTTAAAAATTTGTGGACACAAAAACATCAGGCTACCTTTGGTGGCCACAGGTGAACTGAGCCTACATGTGGGTCTCATCTTACCTCATTTATCCAATTTGAAACATCTGCACCAATGCACATCTTTCATTTGTAAATCTGTAATCATCTGTAAATTTGAAAAGTGGAGACGACCAATCTGCCCCTTTTCCCCCTGTGTGTTTCCGTTCTTTTGTTTTATAGTTCTAGCCTACATATCAGTACTGTGGGCTGGTTTATTTCACTCCTGTTTGGAAATGTGGGCCGTGACAACCCGTGAACACACGCCAGCTGCTGTTATCTCTCACCTCGAGTCAGCTGTACGGGAGAGGCTCACAGAAACAATGAAAACTAAACAGACCAGAGATCAGCGCCCTTCACCGCCTCCAAGACACACTTGAGGAGGTTATTAGAAAAAAGCCCTGCGGGCCTTTCAGATCCTTTTACCGCGGAGAGTGAGCGCCCTGTTCGTTACAGTATGGGATGACCGCTGTGTGCTTGAGGGGACACGGACAGACACGGACTATTTGGACGGGCATTCAAGTGGTTTTCTGAAAAGGAATCCTGGCGAGTGTATTGTAGGCTACGTACGTTACATACAAACCCAAAGGAAGTTGCGAGCGAAGACTACGTCAGGTTGTGCATCAGTTGGAGTGGCGCTCAATGATTTCTAAACACCATTCACGACCTGGCTGTACCAGCAGCCTGCTGCTAGACGAAGAGGCAGTGGTTGAGAAATAGTACTTAAACAGGTGTTGAGAATATTTTAAGGAAGCCACCGCACTTTTGGGCGTGTCCGTGCGCAGGTAAGTGATTAACTTGTAGTATTTGTTGACGGCTAGCATGCGGGAGTTTGTGAACTTTGCTGGCGCCTTTGTGTCAAGTTTTGGGCAAGTATGAGCTTAATTACATGGAGTAAAATAAATTGTTACGAAAGCAGCTGACTAGCTTACTCGTTGTTTATTTTTCCTAACTCAGAAACTGGTTTTAGACTAGTTTTGACGCTTCCAGTCGACGTCTTATTTTAACTACGGGTCGTTTGGCGCACATACGTGAAAGCCCACGGGCAGTGTGTGTTGTGCTTATAGGCTATGTGTGCGGATGAAAAGCAGGCTTTGGCCCCGGGCCAAATATGTAAAACATTTTATCGGAGGTGCATTCTCTGGCATGCTGCAGCTCATCACAAAGCCTAAACCAAAACCAAAGGCACAGCACACTTCTCTTGCGAAAGACACATCTACAGTACACACTCACTCGGCAGGTTGTAACACTGCAAGACACAATCACCGGAAACAAAGGCTGTTGTAGTTGCAGCGAGGTAATTAACAAGTCCAGGCTTTTACCTCTTAAGAGGTAATGGTGAGTCAAACTAGCACGTTTCCTGTCAGTGTTTGTGTGAAACAAACTTTGTGCAAGAGCTCCTCTTTCCTCTACAGCAGACGTTGGCACTCTGTGGGAATCTCTCATTATGTGCTTGTGTTTGGTGCTGGAGGAGAGCTGAGGTTGACATCCCTGCACCCTGCTGAATGCCTTTCATGGCCCTGCATTAACATCACTATGCCACTGACAGAATTACTGCCGTGCTGACTTCAGTTCACTCTGCCCTTTCTGGTCGTTCGGCTTCTTTTCTTTCACTTTGTTTCTAACCCATCTGAAATGCTTCTCATTTCATCGCGTTTGCTGTCCTGTTTGGTGTTTTACTGTACATGTTCTGAGCTGTTTGGCTGTCGGGTCTTATATTTGGGGAATTCATTGTGATATCCATACAACCTTGTCTCTTTCAGCCCTCCCCGGCTTTGTTTCTTTGGTCTGTGCCGTCTGTCTCACCATGGACACCCTGCCGTGCAGTGAAAGGGCCAGCGCCTCTCAGTCAGCACAGATATCATCACGTCAGAGGTGCCACTTGCTGTCTTTAACCCTGTGTCACTGACTGTTAGGGGAAACGGTAAAGTGTAAATTCCTCCAACCTTGACCAAAGGAGCCATGCGTCCACTGCTGTCCCTCGGCGTCTTGTGGCTGCTGCCCCTGGCCTCGATAATGGTGGACCACTCACCACTGGACTGTGCTCCCCGCAGATCTGTGCCCTATCACAGTAAGTGTTGCCATCTGTCTTGTGTAACATTGACTTGTGTCAACTCCTGTTGGTTCACCTGGTTTAAGTTTGACTCACTGGGAAATGGTTTAATCACTGGGTTAATCACTCATGTGCTGTCTGTAGAGGACAACGCTCATCAGTTTCGTGAGGAGGGTGTGTTCAACTATTCCACCATGCTACTGAGAGAAGACCTCGACCTGCTGGTGCTGGGTGCCAGGGAGGCAGTGTACGCTCTTGACCTTAACAACATCTCCAAGAAACTTGCTTCAGTAAGAACAGTTTTTGTGCAGTTAACACCAGTGCTGTCCCCTTAATTGTTGGCTTTGGCATAATTTCTGAGTTTCTTATCAAAGATTTCTTTGCTCAGGGCTACCATTTTTTAAAGAACAAATGTGTGTATCAAGTCAGACAAACACTGTTCTGGAAAAAGCATCTTGTTTTTGGCGACTGTGGTTTGGTGGGTAGAGCAGTTGTCTCCCAACTGGAGGGTTGGAGGTTTGAATCTCGCTGCCTGCAGTCCATGTGTAGAAGTGTCCTTGGGCAAGACACTGAATCCCCTCCCCACTGTTGGTTAGAGCCATCATTTGAGTTGGCGCCGCAGATGGCTACCTCGGTTCTGTACCGGAAATAAATTCCTTGTGTGTAACATACTTGGCCAATAAACCACTAATAGTGCTGAAGTTGTAACATGAGGTGTGGTACAACAGAGCAGTAATGAATTGCTTTTTGTCACACAACATGCCACTATGGAAGTCTTCATTGGTAGTGTTACCGTATCTTAAGCAGTAACTAGTTTATCCTCGTATTGGCTCCCTGCTCATACAGGGCCGACTAGTAATGGAGAAATACTAAACGACAACAGTGACGTATGAAATGTGTGAGAACACATTGTAACTGATCTGTTAGTAACACTGATACCCTAACTAGCAGAGGATGGCTTTGCAAAAAGACACAATGTGTAAGGGCTGTGTGGTTTCTCAGCTCTCTGTTAGTAAGGGCTGTGTGGTTTCTCAGCTCTCTGTTACTACACACACAAAAACCACCAATTTACAATGCCACATTTACCTGCTTCCTTTAACTGGTAGTGTTGCATTTACTGAAAAGAAACACTTGAAGTGTGCAACTGCAATTGTTCTCATGCTTCTAGGTGAAATGGGAAGTGACGCGGCAGCAAATAACTGACTGTAAAAACAAAGGAAAAGATCCTGAGGTGGGTCCCTTGAGCTTGTGCAAATTACAAATAATTGTATTTTGAGCAGATTTATTGATTGCTTTTTAAAATGCATTAACAGATGGACTGCAAGAACTATATAAGGACCCTGCATAAGATGAAGGATAACAGGATGTATGTGTGTGGGACCAATGCTTTTGATCCAGTGTGTGATTACATGGTGAGACTGATAGAGCTATATCTCACACTGTACAAACTGATTTGCTGTATAGTTTTTTTTTTTCCTCCATAATTTTGGGACCAAATTGTGTGTGTGTGTGTAGTCGTATGCAGATGGAACGCTGAGTCTTGAGAAGAAAGGAGAGGATGGCAAGGGGAAGTGTCCATTTGATCCTTTCCAGAGATATGCCTCCATCATGGTTGGTGAGTAGCAATTCCACAGCATATAACAACTTGGAGAAGAAGGTTTAAAATAGCAAAGTGCAGTCAGTTGTATGTCTGTGTTTGCTGTCTTGTCTCAACAGATGATAACTTGTACTCAGCCACTTCAATGAACTTCCTGGGCTCTGAACCCATCATGTTGCGCAGCTCTCGTGTCCCCATACGCACAGAGTTCAAGAGTTCCTGGCTTAATGGTATGATGTAATGGGAAGGAGGGGTCACTGTGATAAGTTTAACTATTTCACCTTGTTGATTTGCTTAATAGCTGGATCAAAGCTGAAGTTTTTGCTCTGTTCTGCACCAGAGCCCAACTTTGTTTCCATGGCTCAGATGTCAGAAAGTGAGAAAAGCCAAGAGGGAGATGATGACAAGGTTTACCTGTTCTTCAGTGAGACAGCTGTGGAGTATGACTGCTACAACAAGCTGGTGGTCTCCCGTGTGGCTCGCGTCTGCAAGGTGATAGCTTGCATGCACATATTTGTCACTGCTCCGTTTCCCGACATAACAAT